TTAAATCAAAGGAAGTAATTAAATCTATTGAAATAAATCAAATTCCCTTCTAATTTCTGCAATTTTCAAATAATCAAAATATTTTATGGAAAATTTACAAACGGAACTTTATAAAGTCTCAACTTATAATCTAATTTCCAATAATTTAACTCCAATTTTCAATAATTTAATTCTTAATAACATCTTAAAAAAAAATTCTATTTATTAAAAATATATGTGAGCAAATTGGTGGCTAAGAAAAATGCAAAACATATACAGCATAACAAAATACCTACTTGTCATTATTGTCTGTGACATTTCTGATGATTGGTGACAAATAAGTTTGCTGAAATTAATTAAGCGAAAGAAATGAAAAACTTAGACAACATTGTTATATTGTTGATTGTTGATTCATTCAATTTTTTCTTTTTCATACCTTTCAATAATTAATTTTAACTCATTCCATTTTCTTTCCATTTAATACATAACATACATTTGAAAATAGTCACAAAATGATTTCATAATAAATTTAACAAAAGTTATGATTAATATATCAATTAATTAATACAATTATATATATTTTATAAGGATTAAAGTTTTTTTTTTCTTTCTTAACACTCATATCAATCAATATTGCTATGCTTCATTATAGTAATAGAAGAAATGTAAAATGATGGAAGAAATTCGATAAAATAACGGTTAATTTTAATTGTACAAATTAAGTGAAAATGAAGTATAAATACCAGTTTCCTTTCTTTTTTTTAAAATTTTTCCACAGTAATTATCACCTTTCTAATCAACCTAATCTAAATAAATAAAAAGTTTGGCAACGTTTGATATGGTGGTGATAATAGTTTTGTGGAGCGATAATCATCACTGTCGGCGTCATTGTCGTTGGCATTGGCGTCTAAGTGTTGGCGTCGTTGTCATCGTTGAGGCCGATCGTTGGTTCGTTTTACTGGAGGAGGGAAGTTGAAATGAAGAGACAGACGAATAGGCGTGGATAATGAAGGATGAGGAAGATAGAGAGGGGAATGAGCATGAAGAAGAATGAATGATTTAATATGAGAAGTTAGTGAAGTAAATTTCGATAGATAAGCAGAAAAAGAGAAAAGAGAGAGAGAGAAAAAGAGAGAGAGAGGAGAGAGAGAGGAAGAGAGAATTATAACATTTTAAACTGTGTGAAATGGAATGAACAATATGTATGAATAGAAATATACAGAAAAAAAAGGAGAAAAAGATAGGAGAAAAGAATATACTAAAATAGGTATGCTTAGTTATGAATCATTAACTACAAATTATCATTATCATTGTTATTATTACTATTATTATTATTATTTATTACTATTATTACTATTATTATTATCATTATCATCATCATCATTATCGTTATCATTGTCATCAATAAAATATTAGATAGAAAAATTTAAAAACTGAGACAAAAAAACGATTCTTTAAGTGTTTATTCGTTTTCTCTTCCTTCTTTTTTCCCTTTTTTAAATTCCTAATAATTTGTTTCACTTATCTTTCTTGTTGTCTACTTCATTTTTTCTCTTCCCTTTTTTTTTGCTCATTTTTTCTTACCTTTTTCTTTCCCTTCTCATCAATTTTTTTTTTTCATTTCTTTTTCATCAAATTATAATTAATTATGCAAAGAGCTAATTAACATAATTAGTAAGAGTAATAGTAACAATTAATTAATCGGTAAATAAAGATATATCATATTTAGAATAATCACTCATTAATTAGTGATCTTTTTTTTCTCCCATGTGCATAATTAATTTTTTGATTTGCGATAAGAATTTGGAAAAATTTTTGAATGGCAAAATTTGTAAGAATAAATGAATTTTTGTTGTAATTAACGAAAAGTAACATTTCTTATTCCATTCATTGCAAAAAAAAAAGAAAAAAAAGAAGAAAACTCTCTTCCTTAGTGACAACAATGCTAATAGTTGTTGTTGTTGTAGCAGTAGTAATTGTAGCAGTAATAATTGTAGCAGTAATAATTGTAATAGCAATAGCAGTAATTGAGAAGAAATTTGCGAATGACATTGAAGATGGAATCATCGAGTAAATGTTTAAAAAGTGAATGAAATGGGAGAAACTAGCAATAGCAATATTTGAAATAGTTAAATTATTTGAAGGACATACATATATACACATACACACATACACACACACACACATACACACATATACCCACCGATACAGACAGATATCTATCATACATGCGCACATATATATATATATATATAGTATATATATATATACATATATATATATATATATAT